CCTTCATCTTCTCGAGTTTCCTCTTCAAGACCTTCTTTTGAACGTCGACACCCATCTAAAACATTTATTTGATCATATATATCTTATACATTTTTGAGCGAATCACACCAACGGAGGTATTCACGAACAAATTATAACAGCAAAGAAAACTTCAGTGTGGAGATGAGTTGCTTAGAAAAATAAAGAAACAAGAACAGCTTGTATTGCATTATTCAATATTGGACTCAAGCGCTAAAGATGTAATTTAAAACGATATCGCAAACTGTGATCCTACTGCACTAAACGCTAAATAAGAAGCTGAAGAAACCCTGCCGTGGAATAAAATTTCACCACAAGTTTTCAAATTCTGTAAAAAGCTTTTGGCTGATTTTTAAAACGATTTTTCGCTGTTTTTCGAAAGCTGTGAGCAAAACAAATTCAAAAGAACCTTTTGCGCCTAATCAGTCATCAAAAAGTAATGAAGAAGTATACTTAAACATCTGTGATGATAATAATAATCTAGACGTAGCCTACTCAAAGATAAGGAAATGAAAGATGAGAGACGATTCATCGAACGCAGAGACAGGGCATCACTGCGGACGCTCATTTGTCGTCTGCTGCCTCTTCGAAACATACTGTCGTAGTTGGACGCAATTGCGACTATCTCTGCGTGCGCTGTCCCGTCTATAGAGATACAAATATTGCTCAATATATAAAAGTAATTATCTGGGCGTAACTGTTCACGATAAGGCCATAAAGAATTACTCAGGGGCAATGTAAACATGTACAAAATGGACAATAACAAAGAATGGCGCTATTCCACTAGTTGACCCAAAAAACTAAAACCGTGAATTTCACTAAACCTTCGTTTAAGGTGGTTATTTGGTACGCTGAACACGAACACGATGTTTATTTCGTGCGGCGCCATTTGGTGCCATCCGGTGGAGTTACGGTAAATCCGGTTTTGGGCAAATCCGGGTTTAGCCCCTACCGCAATCCTACTGTAACTCCACCGGATGACGCTTGCGCACGAAGCATCATATTCGTGTTCAGCATGCTAAATAACCCCCCTAGACGAAGTTTTAACAAAATTCAGATTTTCATTTCTGGGGCAACTAATGTGAAATAGTACCAACAGAACATGAGAACCTAGATATCAAGGATCACATAAATATCACATCGCTCAGCGGTTTGATGTACTTGCATGTTCGAATAGGTAATAGCTTTCACATCTGTGAGCTGAGGATGTTTATGAAGGTCAAAACATTCTCCGCCTACTTGAAATTCAGCTGTGAAGTTTTTCAAGTCTAATTTGTCCATAGCTACTCTCCGTCCAACAAAAAATGGCTCAGATTGAAATCCACATAGCGCCTCTTCCATGACTGCATGTACCAAACCATACAAATCGTTGGCTTGGGCTGTATAGTACATGGTAAACTGCTCCTC